TTACTCCCTTAGGCTAGATTCCCATGAACAGAATTGCTGAGTCAAAAGGTTGACATGTTTTTTAAAGGTTAGATACATATTAGTCAAAGTCTTCTAAGCCTCTCTGATCTTTGTAATTCGTTGTTCCTTTCTAAAAATGTGTAACTGTCTTCTGAGTTCAAGGATAGATTTTTTTTTTTTTAATTAATACGGGGCTTCTTGTTCTCCTTCCTCCCCTTTCCTTATTTCTTCAAAATGTTTAACAAAATAATACATTTTCAAAAGGCATTATGCTTTATCTTGTCAGTATTTCCAGTACTTTGTGTCTCCTGGACTTTATGCAATGGAAGTGTGTGCACAGATGGAATATGTTCTACCATTTGGCTTAATGACAATTTTTCACACCACTAATTTGCTTTCTTTATTTTATTTTTTCTTTTAAGCCTCACAAGAATTGAAGTAACATATATAACATATAATAATTTTGTTTTCTTGATTTCAATATATGTAAATTAGGGGGGACTGCCTGGTAAGGATGAATGATGTGTCAGAGCTCTAGAAGACAAAGCTCTCACCTCTGCCTCTAACTTGTTTTATGACCTTGAGGTAACCACTTAATCATTCTGCATTTCATTTTCCTCATTTGCCAAATGACAAAGTGAACTAAATGACCTTGAAAACCTATTTTTTTTTTAAGTGTCAGTCTATCCAAGACTCAAGTTGATCTTTGAAAAGTATTGTTTGAAATTAGGGCAAATACGTGTATGTGTTGGTTGGGCAAAGTTGGAGGCACTAAAAATTGGTTTCAACATATTAAAAATATTTTGTGCTCTGACGCTTGACCAAGGCCTCCTAACAGTGTGCTTTAGTGGTTTGTGAAACATATTTCTAAGGCCAAGGTAATTATAGTTGTTCCACTGAAGCATGACAAATGGCCCCTCACTATGAATTCTTTTATGGGAAAGAAAAACCTTCCATGACAACAGCCCTGGAACTTAATGACAGGCTCCAGATCTGGGGGCAAGAATAGAGACAGTCATTGGCTGCAGTCAAGAGAGAGAAGACAACAGCATGGGCTCACCTGGGAAGAATCAGGGCAGAGTGATGTAACAATAACAACAACGACATTAGTGAGGCTCTGCTGAGAACTTGCAGAAAAATATAAAAAATTGACAGGATGTTGTCCCAATAATTTCATATACACTATCTCATTTAATTCCCACAATGCAGCCGGTCACAGTGGCTCATGCCTGTAATCCCAGCACTTTAGGAGGCCGAGGCGGGTATATCTCAAGGTCAGGAGTTTGAGACCAGCCTGGCCAAGATGGTAAAACCCCATCTCTACTAAAAATACAAAAATTAGCCCGGTATGGTGGTGGACACTTGTGATCCCAGCTACTCGGGAGGCTGAGGCAGGAGAATCACTTGAACCTGGGAGACAGAGGTTGCAGTGAGCCAAGATTGTGCCACTGCACTCTAGCCTGGGCAATGGCGCAAGACTCCATCTCAAAAAGAAAAAAAAAAAAAAAATTCCCACAATGCCCCTAAGAGATAGGTTATGAGGTAGGTACTTTTATTTTTTCTGTTTTACAAAGATGAGCATTGGGAGGTTCTTTAAAAACGAAGCTAGATAACCTCCTTCGAATTATTCAGCCATTAGTTGTCAGAGAGGATTTGAACCCTGAGAGTTCATTCATTCATTTAACACGTTTGTTTTGTTTTGTTTTGAATGCCTGTTATGCACCAGGCACCCATCTAAAGGCTGGTGACACAGAAGCGAATGAAGCAAAATTCCTGCTTTTATGGAGTTTGGCTAGTAGAGGATGAGACCAGTCATAACAAACCAATAAATCAATAAATAATTTCAGAGGGCCATAGTGCTATGAAGAAAGATCAGCTCTCTGTGAGGAGAGTGACTGGGGCAGAGGGAAGGTCACTTTATAGGATCTTGGCAGGGAAAGCCCCTGGCTGGTGACATCAAGCTGAGCCCTATGCGATGGAGCCAGTGAGCCATGCAGCGAACTATTGGAGGGCATTTTACCTGCAGAGTCCATCAGAGCAAAGGTCAAGGACTCAAAAGAGCTTGGCTTGTTCTAGGAACAGATAGAAAGCCAGTGTAGTTGGATGATAAATGAGAAAAGGGAAAAATGTCTGCAGTGGAGTCAAAGAGGTGGGCAGGCTCCCGATGATGCAGGACCCATGGGCCACAGTAGGATGCCTGGATTTTATTCCACGTGCAGGGAAGGCCTTGGAGGATTTTACACTAGGAAGTGTTGTGATCTTCAGTCTCTGCAGGCAGATTTCTTCCTCTAGCTTATGTTGCCAACAAGGAGCATCTGAAACGGACTAGGTTGTTTATGTAGCCCACAGCCTAAAGGAGTATTAACTTAGGGGCCAGCGTTTCAGACGAAACAAAACTGTAGGGTTTCCACAGAACAACAAGACTGAAATGGACAGCTAGAGGTCTCCTTAGCTGAACTTCTGACTTTAGGTAAGAAGACCTTAGCAGATCCAAGTGGAGCATCTGGACTATACTAAAGACCTTCAGAAAGGGAACTTCATCTTCTGTCTTGAGACCTTCCCTGAGTATATAGAAGGCGGTGCTCTAGATACTGAACTTGTTTGACCACTTCTTGGTCTGGAGGTTGTACTTGTCTCATAGAATAAACCTCATCCAAAATAACAAGACATTACAGCTTTGAGTAGGTGGCATCTCAGGGATTTGCATTTCTGTGTAATCTATCGTGTGTGTGTGTGTGTATGTGTATGTGTGTATCTATTTGTCTTTGAAAAAATATTTTTGAAGATGCCTTCAACATTTTAACATAGAGAACCGGGGCACGTTGGCTCATGCCTGTAATGCCAGCACTTGGGGAGGCTGAGGCAGGTTGATCACTTGAGGTCAGGAATTCAAGAGCAGCCAGGCCAATATGGTGAAACCCCATCTCTACTAAAAATACAAAAATTAGCTGGGTGTGGTGGCACATACCTGTAATCCCAGCTACTTGGGAGGCTAAGGCAGGAGAATTGCCTGAACCTAGGAGGCGGAGGTTGCAGTGAGCCAAGATCATGCCACTGCACTTCAGCCTGAGCAACAGAGTGAGACTGTCTCAAAAAACAAACAAACAAACAAAACAAAAAAGCAAAAAGCAAAAACAAAGGGCCTGGCATTTCTGATGAGGGGGCATTGTATGAATGGGACTAGAATTTGTTTTGTAAACTCAGCAACTTGGTTAATTTTATTTGAATGCTCTTTATAAACAAACACTCATGTTAACCCATTGAAATTGATTTATGTCACCTATGGGATGAAATTAATTGGTTGGGTTAAAGTCTCACTATTATAAGACACTGTTCTCTTACTTTGACAAAAATATTCAGAGTTAATGAACACATTGATTTAGCAAAACCCAGTTTGAATAACATGGTAAACCATCACTAATGCACTGACTGTGTGTGTGCCTAGGTGGCCGACTATCCCTCTGTAGGTTCTTGACAATTCAGTCCTAACAACACAAATTTGTTTGTATGAAATGAGCATGAGAGACATTTAGTTGAGCCCTGTGATATGGTGGGCCCCAGAGAGCAAGGTAATAATTGTGAAAGAATTCAATTTAAGCTGCACAAGTGAGTAGGATTTGGGGAAGAATACTACCCTTGAATTAGTTTTTATTTATGAAGAGCCTATTTGTTTCTCAGGTGGAAAAACATCCTCAAACCACCTTACTTCATGAGTGAGGTCAGAAAAGTCTAATGGAGCCGGGTGCAGTGGCTCCTGCCTGTAATCCCAGCACTTCAGGAGGCCGAGGCAGGTGGATCACTTGAGGTCAGGAGTTCAAGACCAGCCTGGCCAACATGGCAAAACCCCACCTCTACCAAAAAATATAAAAAATTGGCTGGGTGTGGTGACACGTGCCTGTAATCCCAGCTACTCGGGAGGCTGAGGCAGGAGGATTGCTTGAACCCAGGATGTGAAGGTTGCAGTGAACCGAGATCATGCCACTGCACTCCAGCCTGGGTAACAGAATGAGACTCCGTCTCAAGAAACGTTTAACAGGACAGGAACACAAGGACAAGGGTAGTCTAAGGGCAGGCTGTGTGGTGCACCAGAGGTAGAGGATGACGAGAACAGAGTTTCCATATCTAAAGGTGCTGAACTAGAAAACTCTCAAGGTTCCCCCACATCAACATTCTGTAGTTTGGCAAAAAAGGATTTTTTTTCCTCCTATTTGAGTTAGAGCATGGTTTCCCAAGGCCTTATAGCTGTGAGTGCAGGAGGACTCTAACAACTGCATCAGAATTATAAATTCAGCTGTCAGCATTGGGATGGTTGAGTTGACTGAACAAGCAGGTTTTCTTTCATTGTCTGTTTCCTAGATGGAGTAATAACAATTTCAGCCTCTCCACTTTGTTGTAACTCTGTCAGTCTGACATTTCTGATTGCTGAGAGGTTTGTGGAAATTTTCTAAGTCACACATTGGAGTTAATTCAAGGAGATAATGCAATTCCAATGGAATCATCAGTGTCTCTGCTGTCAGATCGAGTATTTTAGGAGTTCAGTTGGTTGAGTTGCACAACTCTACAGATTTAATACCACATACTTGCCGCTTTGCGTCTTGCCCTCAAGTCTTAATAAATGGGCTAAAGGTCTGATTGGAAACTGTGAGATAAATTATATGTTTACTATGCCAAGTTAAGTAAATACCATTTGAAAGGATTACTAGAGGGTACAATCAAGTTAATTGCTTTAAAAATCTTTTTTGATTTACTGGGCTCTATGAAAATTGTTAAGCAATTGATCTGCCACAGTACGTGAGCTGAAGAAAGTGGTGCTGAGTCCACAAGGTTTCCATGCACATCCCCTCCCCTGTGCCTGGAACTGTCCCCTCAATGAGAAGAGAGTCCCCCCGAGACCCACATGCAAGTACTGCAGACAGACTGTTGTTCCTCCAGAGAAGACACACGTTGACAGCTTGACGTTCAGACTGATGATGGATTTCTTTTTTTTTTTTTTATTCTAGATGCTGAAGAATACCAGCCTCCAATATGGAAATCATACCGTGAGTACCTGAAATGAAAATCTCCCCAGAAGTCTTTAGCAGGCCAGCCTTTTTGAACAATTCTTGCCAGCGATGTGGTGCACACAAGTGTTCCCACCTCACAGCGTTGAAAACTCAAATCTTTCTTTCCACTGAGGAAAAAGATTAGTCAGAGAGGATTAACTGAGCCGCCTCCTCTTACCAGGGGCTCCAAGAACCAGCTGTGGCCCATTTCAGAAATGCTTGGAAGACAGGTGGACTTTCTGACTCTCTGCCTTTCAGTTTGGGGCTTTATTTTTATTTATTTTTTTATACCATTGATTAGCAAGTGAGAATGTGTTGATTTCTGTGAATTATGTTTTTGGCCAATCATTCTAAGGATAAAATATTATGTGACATCAACCACTGAAAAATGAACAGATAGTAAAGAACCATGTTTGGTCACCAAGGGTGACTCTTAGAAACAGATCCTGCCTGATCATCAGTCACCCACCTAGCTCCCCTCATGAAGGCAGGTGGCTGTCATCACCTAAGTCTTGTCTTCTCTTTCCTTAGTACTATATGCTTGACTCGGGAACTCCCCAGTGAGAGAGGGCAGGACTGTGGTAGGAGGAGCCCACTGTGTCCAGAGCCAGGGGACGCAGGTCCTGGCTCAGGCTCCAGTTCTGCCATCGTCATTAGCATTCCTAATAAAGCTGCCAGGGTTACCACTCCCCATCAAGAACCTGCCCTGTGCTGGCCACCGCACCAAGCAGCCAAGTCCTGAATTCTTACCATAGCTCTCAAAGATGGGTACCATTTTTTTTTAATTTATTTTTTTGAGACAGGGTCTCGCTCTGTCACCCAGGCTGGTGTGCAGTGGCGCAATCTCAGCTCACTGCAACCTCCACCTCCCGGGCTCAGGTGATCCTACACCCTCAGCCTCCCAAGTATGTGGGACTGTTACAGACGCCACCACACCCAGATAATTTTTTCTATTTTTATTAGAGATGGGTTTTGCCATGTTGCCCAGGGTGGTTTTGAACCCCTGAACTGAGACAATCCACCAACCTTGGCCTCCCAAATTGCTGGGATTTCAGGCATCAGCCACCATACCAGGCCTATGGGGACTGTTATTATCTCTATTTCACATGTAAGGAAACCATGGCTCAGGGAGGCTAAGTAACTTGGTGAAGTATTCACAAAAAGTAGTGGGGTAGCGTTCTTAGTGGAACCCACAGCCTGCGTGTGTCCAAGACTTGTCCATTCTATTCAAAATCTTATATATACATAAGTGCATGTATACACACACACATACACACATATTATATATCGATATATAACATATACATACACACAGCCACACACACACACATAAATATATATGTATGTATTTGTTACAAAAGCAATACAAAGCTACATAAAAGACAGACGTTAGGGAAATATGTAAAACTGAGAGTAAAAATTTCCAACATCCACAAATTCCCCACCCCATATTCCAGTTCACTCTCCCCTTTGCCAGTTGCTGAACTCTGTGAATTTGGGGAGGCAGATCCTTCTGATTGTTTAAAAGCACGTGCTTCATGTTAAGCATTTTCGTCGTTGTTGTGTAAAAATGGCTTTACGCTATGTCTTTCAGCTTGCTTGTTTCACTTCACAAACATCTTGTTTTTATCTCTCCTTGTCAGCACATACAGAGGCACCTTGTTCTTCGTTACATAAGTCCGTTCTTCCATCTGTGAAATAATGGGGCTGTGCTGGGTCTCTAAGGGCCCTTCCAGTCTAATGCTCTGCATTCCGATCTTCTATTTTGAAAGGCCGTGCTAATGACTTAGTAATTGGATGTTTTTGTTTGTTTGTTTCCTAATGGAGTGTAAAGAGCTCTGACAGTAAATCGACAGAATATCTGTAGTGAGAGGCATTGGGTGTTCCATGGCTTCCTGTGCTTTGCACACTGGCTCACACATGGCCTTGCATACATTAATGACCCAATAAATATTTGTTGAGAGAATGCCACCACAGAGAGCTTTGCTGAAGCGAAAAGATGGCATTGGCTGAAATTCATTTTGCCTTCTTTTAAGAGACCTTGGGCCACCCGATAACGTCTCTTAAAAGTACTTCTATGTCTTGAGGAAGCTGGAAAATCTTTGCTACTTAATGTTAACAATATCAATTTTAACCCTTCTGTATTGGTTTTAAGTTTGATTTTTGGATCTAACCAAGTTGTGTTTTTAAAAAAATTTTCTGTATAATCATAAAACTTTACTTGCAAAAGTTCCTCTTTATTATATCCAACTAATAGTCATCCAGGCTCCATTTGAGAGCATCTAGTGATGTAGATCTCTGAAAGTGAGGGGAGTATGCCATCCATGGCATCAAAAACGTGTTGACCAAAGCCCTACAGACCACCAGTGAGGAAGAATTCTCTTTTGGTCATCCTGGATCCATGAATTATTTGAGTTTGGGTGTTAGACCACATATGAATTATCAAGCTCATACTACTCCATGTTTTTCCCAAGAATATCATCCATTCATTTAATCTTTCAGCAAATACATTCTAAATGTCAGAGGATAAGTGTTAGAAATCAACAATGAATAAAGTGTGGCTTATACTTTCCTCCAATGTACAGTCTAGTCAAGGAGACAGATGTAAACCAATAAACTTAAAATGCAAATGAATTCTGGTAACAAAACGCTACTCTTTCCTGGGAAAGAAGACTATAGAAGTCAAATTTGCATGTGGGTCTTGAAGGATGACTAGGAGAAGGAATCTGAGGGCCTTCATGAGATGCTTTTTAAAAAATCCAAGTATGCTAAAATGGTATCATTTTCCTGATATGAAAGTCCAACAAAGCTATCAGAATATTGAATTTGTCTTATTTTAAACAAACTGTTGGTAAACCCGTTCTGAACCCCAGGAATTTCCAAGCCTTTCTCTTTGAAATGTTCACAGATTATCCTTTGAGAGGTTAATTTTAGATACTGATGTCTAACTCATTATCATATCATGTATGGAATCCATATTCTTCCATCACACACTTTTTTAAACTCTAGCAGTTTTCGGTACTATCAATTCTGTCATATATTTACTAGATACAGTATATTTTTTGCCATAGCATAGGACTTGGTTTAAAAATTTATTATTTGCAATGATTAGACAAGTAAGTAGCTATATCCTTGTTTTCGTTGACCTTTTTTGGCCATAACTTTGACTTATTTAATGTCAAATTCTTGTTATGAAGCACTAGCCCCAAGTATGGCATTATTCCTACAAGAAAATTTGTCTTAACCAGGCATGGTGGCATGCCTTGTAGTCCTAGCTACTCGAAAAGGCTAAGGTGGGAGCATCACTTGAGCCCAGGAGTTTGAGGCTATAGGGAGTTATGATCATACCATTGCACTCCAGCCTGTGCAACAGCGAGACCCTGTCTCTAAAAAACTTTACTTTTAAAAAGAAAAGAAAATTAGTCCATTTCTAATGATTCATTTTAAGAAGCAGTTTCTGAGTTTTATTCTTGGCTGCAAGCAACAGAATACTACTCTCAATCACATTGATTGACTTAAGCCAAAAGTCCAGAGGCACTGACTTCAGACATGACTGTTCCAGCAACTCAAATGACATTACCAAAATCCAATGTGTATTTCTTCCTTTCTTGGCTCTGCTTTCCTAGATTTGACTCTACTCTTACTATGTTCTTCCCTTGGGATCCCCCTGTAACTATCAACAATATCAGGGCAGTGGCTTTCTTATCCAAAAGCAACAGGCAAAGGGACAGTCTGCTTTCTTGACACATCTAACAAAGTCTCAGAATTGAGTCTCAGTCCTAATTGACCTAGGTTACCCATTTCTGACTCTATCACTGTGGTCAGGGATGTGCTGACTGCCCTAAACCAATCAGGACTCACCACTGGAATTCGGGAAAGGATCAACCCCATATAACCCTGTATAACATGATTGGAAAATTTGGAATAATATTGGAAGCAGGAAGATGAAAATGGATGCTGGGAAGGCAACCATAAATATCTGGCTAAGAAATTTAGAAGAGTAAGAGTAAGAAATCAGTTCTCTCAATATTTTATATAAATTATAGTGTTCATTAATTTCACTCCTTCATTCAACAAATGCATATTAAGTCTCTGCCTTAAGCCAGACACTGTGCTTAGAGTTGGGCCACAAAGATGGATAAGATCGCTGTTGACTCAAGGAACCATGATGCCACGTGATGGCCTTTAAGTCCCTGCCCTCTCTGCTCCTTTGCTTTTCTTAGAAGCTAACTTCATGGCTCACTGAACTGTTTCCATAGAATAATCTTGTCCCAAAGTACCATACATCTGCAGCTAATTCTTAAGTCTCAAGACTGAACACAAGAAACATTGATGAAGTCACTGAGAAAGCTTTGGTTTCAATGCTCTAAAAGAAAAGCTACTTTCACGTTCACTTAAAAATAATAATAAAGCTACATTCTAAATGTTAAGCCAGAACTGTATAAACTTTTTGCCTCGAGCAGGCAAGTTCAAAAGCCAACCACCATGATTATGCTCTGAAAGATTTTCTTTCTTAAGAGGCCAAGTGCCAATTAGGCAGCAGATGCAGTGGCTGACAGCTCTCCCTGGAGGCTCCCCTGGGCAGCAGGTCACGCAGGCATAGCTTGTGCCTGTTTTACAGATATGAAATTTAGAGCCTCAGAACCCTGATCTACAGAATCCCAGCATCAGAATCACTTGGGAAGAATATTTATGATAATTTTTCCTCAGCCTTACCACAGATCTCTGGATCAGAAAAGTGGGGGGATGTGCAATGTATCAAACCCTACAGGTTTCTCTTATACACACTTATGCCTGAAACCCCTCAGTGTGTGGGCAACTGTCATCTCCTCCTAGAGGTTTTTCACAGTGCCATTAGACAAGATAATTAAATCCCCATTAAGACTTGACGTTCTGGCCGGGTGCAGTGGCTCACACCCAGCACTTTGGGAGGCCAAGGCAGGCGGATCACCTGAGGTTGGGAGTTCGAGACCAGCCTGACCAATATGAAGAAACCC